ACAAATTTATGTGTTTTAACTATATCTTTCAATGATTTTATGAGTTTTAATTATATATTTTATTTTATTTTGTAATTACTTTCAGACAAATTGTTTAAAAATATTTATTTTTTATTATTCATCTATCCAAGTATTATAACTTTACTTTTAATTAATTCGTCGCATTATAAGTAAAATCTAATTATTTTGGATTCATTTTTAAGAGTTTAAATTTTGATTTTACTTAGGTTTGATACCAAAATAAGTACCCAAACTATATCTCTTTTCCCAAATAGGTGTTTAAACTATTTTTTTGACTCATCTCGGTGCCTAACGTCACAAATGTTACCTAACGTCACAAATGTTACCTATTTAGGTGCTCGGGCTTTCAACGGTGTTAATTTTCCCTTTATGTGACACGTGCCATAACTGGTAATTTTAAAAAATATATTTAAAATTAAAAGATAAAATTATATAATTAAAAAAAAGAAAACACAAATTTTGAAATAAACCCAAAACTATGAAAACCTTCACTTTAACCCCTAAACCCATGCCAGTTGTCACCTTTTGCCATCGACGAAGCTCCACCTGACATTCCCTCTCCCTGACAACCAAAACCCCCATGAAATCGTGACCAATCGACGATCGATCGATAACGAATCAATATTTTATATCATGTGAACCCTAGAATGAAAATCATGAACACAAGCGATTTTGACGGTCAATAACGGAAAACATGACAACGTATAGTAGGAGGACAGTAGGCATTATGTCAGTGGCGGTGATCATGGCCGAAAAAGGCGGCGGCAAATTAAGCTTAGGATTTGGAATTTTGAAATTGTTTTCTAAGATAAGAAAAGTTCAAGCACCAATTTTTTTTTAAAAAAAAACCCCTACCTATTGGATCGAATTCAAATTAAATTGACATCCTAATGTCATCGCATTATCTTTACAAAAATACAAACTGATTCAAACATTTTTCCAATCCCATTTGAGAAAATAATATTTGGGATGCATTAACCGAGTTCCCCAGTACATTATCTGCACAAAATTTCCCTTTTCTCTATCTTATTTCTCATATAATTAACGATTTTTCAGACAACAAGAATATTATTATTAACTGAGTTCCTCAGTACATTATCTGCATTAATTCGATTCGACTCAAAAAATTGATTTTTTCGACTCGACTTGATAAAACTCGGCTCGAATTGACTTCGAGTTGTAATTTCATAAATTTGATTGGACTCGAAATAATTTGAAGTTCAAATCGAGTTGTAAAACACAATTTGAATAACTTGAAATCTTTAGTAATTAGTAGATTGATTTTCAAGTTTGAGTCGAAGTTTAAATCGAGTCCCTCGATTTTGTATGGTTATGTGAATCACATATGAAGAAAATATTAAAAAATATATATATATGTATTGTATATGATTATTGTAGACACATGATTTTCATCATATATATATATATATATATAATAATATTATTAATTTCGTTTTTTTACATTTGCAGGCCTGAACACGTGGCCCAAAATTGTTACACGCCCAGGCAGCAGCCCAAGACCCCACAGCCTGAACACTCGACTCGGTTAGGGTTTTTGAAACTTTAACCCCAGGCAGATCAGGTAAGATAGTGTCTGACCCACCTAAATTCGTTTTAAAGTGGTCGGTGGCGACTCCAATTCATTTAATCCAAGTTGAAGCCCAATTATGGGCCCACTCAAAAGACGGTTCCGACAGTTATAAAATACCATTTAAATTGGAATTAAATAATGCCATCATATTGTAAATGTTTATAATTAAATTTAAATACAAACTTAAAAATTTAACTCGACTCGACTAAAAAAAATCAAGTCAACTCCGATTTATAAAATAAAACTCGTCAACTCCAATAACTTGAATTTTTTTACTCGACTCAATCGAACGTTCACCTCTAAGTGACTATGCACTATTTAATTGTTAATCGATTTACTTCTAATCTTAATTTATGTTATTTATTTATACGCTAAAAGTGTTAATGGTTAAACTTGGGATGGGCATGCGACCCAAACCCGATCGGATCAGCTTTTTTTTTAAATTCGGGTTTAGGTTGGGTCGAGTTTTTTAAGTCGTATTCGGGTCGGGTTGAATTCGGGTTTAGGGTGAAAATATCCTACCCAACCCGAAAAAAATATATTTTTACCTTATATATTTAAGAATAATTACAATAATACCCCTCTATATATTATTTTTTCAATTAAATCACCATTTTTATTGAATAAAAATAATATTTTTTTTATTATTTTAGGTCGGGTTGGGTCAGGTTCGGATTTTATCTCAAAAAGTCGGGTCGGGTCGGGTGGAGGGTATATATTATGCGGGTCGGGTAGTATTTCGGGCGAATGAGTCATTGTTCTCGGGTCAGGTCGGGTAAACCAAAAATCCGACCCAACTCTACCCATGCCCATCCCTAGGTTAAACTAATGAAATTCTTGTAATTTGGTCACTTGATTTGTTTCCTTCTCAATTTAGTCCCTTGTATTCATGTTCTAATTATTATTATTTATTTATTTATTTATTTATATATATTCCCTTTATTATTTGCATTATTTTTTTTTTATTCTTTATTAAATATTTTTTACACTTATATATATATATTCTCTTTTTTATATTTTATTATTTATATAAATGGTAGTTTTATGTATATATTTGTTTATAAATATTCTAATATATATATTATCCATCCTTTTTTCGTTATTACTATTATTATTTTTTGTTTTACCAAACATTTTTATTTATTTATTTATTATTTTTATTATTAATACTATATTATATATATACATATTACCTAACTAATTTGTTTTTTTTCTAAACTTTTCCTTCCTAGGCCCCCATTTCTTTTCCTACCTTCTCTCTTTCATCATATTTTCCCCATGAATTGATGGCATAGGGCCCTCTCATTTTATTTTTGTTCCTTATTTTCTTTCCTTTTGTTTTTCATCACGTTATATATATATATAGATATAGATATTTTGTTATAACTTATCTAATTTATAAACACTACAGTATGTATATATTTTCTTTTTCTTTCTTCTCTTCATTTTGTTTTGTTATTTTTATATATTTTATTATTTTGTTTTGTTTTTTATTTTATTTATTTTACCTTATTTTCTTTTATTGTTTTATTTTATTTCTTAGCCATTTTTTGAGTTTTATTTGTTTCATTATTTGTGTTGCTTTTATTGTTCAATCTTGTATTTAGCAGTTTTTTAGTTAATAAACTTGTTTTTCTTGCATTATTTTATTTTTATTCCTCCTTAATATTATTATTTTTCGGAATTTGAATATGCGCACTTTATCTTTACTTCAATTAATTTCTCATCATATACATTCTTTAAATCAATGTAATTTAACCCTTTTCTGTTTTCTGGTTTAGCCTTTTTATCTAACATTTTCTCATTTAAGGGTATTTTCGTAAATTCGTTAAAGGTAAGTAATTTGGATCTTTATTTTACCTTCTAATTTAAACTTTCAATTTTCTTAATTAAAGACAACTGGAAACTACGTAGTACCATAAGTGTAGTTCAAGAGTGCTAACCCTTCCTTGACTGTAACCGACTCCCGAATCTGACACATCTTTAGTACAGCGCAGATCAAGTAAGATGGTGTCCGACCCACCTAAATTCATTTTAAAGTGGTCGGTGGCGACTCCAATTCGTTTAATCCAAGTCGAAGCCCAATTCTAGGCCCACTCGAAAGACGGTTCCGACAGTTATAAAATACCATTTAAATTGGAATCAAATAATGTCATCATATTGTAAATGTTTATAATTAAATTTAAATACAAACTTAAAAATTTGACACACGACTCGACTAAAAAAAATTCAAGTCAACTCCGATTTATAAAATAAGACTCGTCAACTCCAATAACTTGAATTTTTTTACTCGACTCAATCGAACGTTCACCTCTAAGTGACTATGCACTATTTAATTGTTAACCGATTTACTTTTAATCTTAATTTATGTTATTTATTTATACGCTAAAAGTGTTAATGGTTAAACATGGGATGGGCATGCGACCCAAACCCGATCGGGTCAACTTTTTTTTTAAAATTCGGGTTTAGGTCGGGTCGAGTTTTTTAAGGCATATTCGGGTTGGGTCGAATTCGGGTTTAGGGTGAAAAATACCCGACCCAACCCGAAAAAAATATAATTTTACCTTATATATTTAAGAATAATTATAATAATACCCCTTTCAATTAAATCACTATTTTTATTGAATAAAAATAATATTTTTTATTATTTTAGGTCGGGTTGGGTCAGGTTCGGATTTTATCTCAAAAAAGTCGGGTCGGGTCGGGGTGGAGGGTATATATTATTCGGGTCGAGTCGTATTTCGGGCGAATGAGTCATTGTTCTCGGGTCAGGTCGGGTAGACCAAAAATCCGACCCAACTCTACCCATGCCCATCCCTAGGTTAAACTAATGAAAGAACCTAAGTGATATATTACTAGTATTTTAAGAATACAATGAGAACATCTTTAAAGTTTGAGGGCTAGTTCAAAATAACGAACTATTTGTTCAAGATTTAATTTTATTCTTTGAAATTGATAAATTGATCCTTAAAATCTAAAGAAATTTGAATTTGGTTAAATTATGTGTTAAATTTTTTTTAGAATCGATACCAAATTATAAATCTTAAGGAGATTTACTATCATGTCGACCAAAATAAATTAAAATTTATGGAAAATGTTAAACCATTGATTAATTGTCTTAATTACTCATTTTTAAAATTAACAGGGACTAAATTGCTTAACATTTATAAGAGGATAAATTTACACAATTTGAAAATTGTAAGGATCTAAGAGGTCGTTTTACCTAAAATAACCGCTAGAAAATAGCTTTGGCGACGGTTGATTTCCCCCTTCTTTTTCGCCAAAGAAACCAAATCAACGCGTCAGTGACTCGGCGTAATGCATAATTAATTTCTTATTTATTCTATTTTCAGGATTTAAGATAGCGATTCTTGCGATTTGAACTGACTCCAAAAACAATAATGTCCGCATCTACCGTCTCGATCACCGCCAGCCCGGCGGCGACGCCTCGCCGGCGTTCTCTTCTCGCCGAGAAGAGATCGAACGTCGAAGCATTGGTCGTTGATCCGAACGCTGATGGAATCAACCTTGTGGAAGACAAAACCGCTGCCAATGTCGGTCTCAGCAGAGATCTGAGCCACCATTCGGGTCGTGCCGAGCCGTCAAAAGACTTGTTGCAAGCGAGAAAGGTCGTCGTGGGTCAAAATTCGAACGGCACGCTGCGGCGATCGCGGAAAGGAGCGGTTAATAAGATCGATAAATCTCGATGGATGACCGTGGTTAGTATTTTTGTTAAGAATTTAGCGCTTTTGCTTGTTTTGGTTGGCTTAGCTCAGATTATTAGGAGACTGGCTTTGAAATCGGGGGAGGATAATATCGATGGGACGCAAATGGGATTAACTGAATTTGAGGGTAAGGTTGCTGAGGTTGAGAGTTTCTTGAAAACCACGGCTAATATGATTCAAGTTCAGGTAGATGTTGTTGATAAGAAAATTGAAAACGAAATTGGTGGTTTAAGGAGGGATTTGGATGAGAGAATTCAGGGTCAAACTGCGGTATTGGAGAAGTCATTGAAAAAATTGGAGGAAAAGAGTGAGGAATTAGATAAATCCTTGAGTGAATTGAAGAGTGCGGATTTGTTGACAAAGGAAGAGTTTGGAAAGATGTATGAACAAATGCAAAAAGATAAGGGTGCTGGTGAGTCTGATTATGCAGTGAGTTTAAGTGATCTAGGAGCATATGCGAGAGAGATTGTTAAGAAAGAGATTGAGAAGCATGCTTCGGATGGGCTCGGCCGGGTTGATTATGCATTGTCTTCAGGTGGGGGAAAGGTTGTTCAGCATTCAGAGCCATTTCTTGCCGGGAAGGGAATCAACTGGTTTTTGAAAAGTCCAAATGGGGTTCACAGTGATGCAGACAAGATGTTGAAGCCAAGTTTTGGAGAGCCTGGGCAGTGCTTTCCATTGAAAGGAAGCAATGGGTTTGTTCAGATTAAGCTGCGCGCGGCTATTGTCCCAGAGGCTATTACCCTAGAGCATGTTGCCAAGGTAATATTTTTATTACAGTTTGTATAAAGTTGTTCGTGGTTCACTTATGTATTTGTCTTTATTTTTGTTTTATGATGATAAATCTAACAGTAATTCAGATTTTTTTTATACTGATTCTGGAGGTCCAACGTAAGATCTGTAAGATGTGAATATTCCAACTTGATCTCTCGTACCCATCCTATTTTGCCAAAATAATTTTCACTATGAACTATCTAAGCTTTGATTCAACCCTTGATCTTGCAAAACCAGTCTGCCTCTCATTCTTTCAGGAAACCTATTTCCTCTAACATCTAATTACTTTGCTAGACTTCTTATGATTAGGAGATCTATTTCAATATGGTGAAGGCAATAATTCTTATAAGTTGGATCTTTTAGATATTAAAGGGGAAAACATATGCAAGGATTGCATTAGGATCTCATTTTAATAAGGATTGGCTCTATTCTGTTATGATACTGTCCTTCCCTGGAACCTACCTCCAAAACTAAATAGGTAAATAGTCATGTCTTATATTTGACAATTCTATGTGAATAATGACATTTTAGTAGCGTTTCCATTCTTTCAATGCCGGTTTCATGCAAGGAGAAATGGAGTAGAAATACAAGTGCCGAGGCTTGTTTGAAATTGTGCTCCGATGAGGAGTTTTTTTTCTATCTGTAATTGCTTTTAGCGGAGGCATACTTTTGGAAGAGGTGAGTGGAGATATAATTTTCAGTTATTGCTTGATTTGCATTGGATAAAGAGTCCATGAGATATTTGTATATATGGAAACACCAAGCAAAACAAGCAAATATAACCATTACATTTTACAGAAAAAACAACCAACTATGTATCTAGAGATAATATGTGAAAAATAAGAGCAGAAGAATACTAGGTGTTATGTGTTTTATTTTGACGCCTAGAGGCAATGAGAAATTTCTACTATGATTGAAGCAAAATGGAGAGAACAATAGTTTTGTACCCAAAAACTCTTTGGAAAGCAATCAAGTTGGTGCACTGAAAAATTCCATCAGGTGACTTGAACCTACAATTGTTCACGGTTAAAGCAGCAGTAGAAATGTTGCTCTAATTTTTAATTTTACATGAAGTACCCATGTCCAACACCAATATCCGACACATTCAAACATGAGTGTGTAGTTATTACCTTTGAAAAGCCCTTTAAATATGTGGAAGAACTTACAAAAACTTGAACATGCCCATGTTGGGCACATCCTTATTCAACACTTCACACGAGTTTGAGTAAGTTGGTACTTGGGCTTTATTATGTAGAATACTTATGGAGAACTTTTAGTTTTATTTGAGATCGGTTGCATGAAAATAATTATGGGGGTAAACATACGGTAATGACTATATGAATATCCTTTCTCTTTTCATCTATGATACACCAATTCTTCGTTCTGATTGGTCCAACTCATATGCTCTTTACAGTGCCTTCATTCTGCTGGCGCACCAGAGGAAGCAACTTATGCCATCAATTATTTCTTTGGCTTTTGTTTTCTTAATACTACAACATCTAGCATCTAGGATTTATTATCATTTATGAATGGATCTTGCCTTGCAAATTTCGAATAACTTCCATTTGATCTATGGCCAGCAAAAATAAATCAAGGGCTGATTTAAGAGTGCTCTTTCTGATTTTTATTCTCAATTGACTTTGTCATAATTGCTTATTCTGTTGTTCATGTACCGTGTACAGAGTGTGGCATACGACAGATCAAGTGCACCCAAGGACTGCCGAGTCTCTGGCTGGCTGCAAGGACGTGACCCTGATTCCTCTGTTGATTCCAATAAGAGGTTTCTCTTGGCAGAGTTCACGTATGACCTCGAAAAGAGTAATGCTCAGACCTTTGATGTATTGGATACAGCAGGTATCGGTATTGTTGACACAGTGAGGCTGGACTTCTCTTCAAACCATGGAACAACTTCACATACCTGCATTTACCGTCTGAGGGTACACGGCCACGAGCCAGATTATGTTTCAGTGGAGAAAACGGAGTCGTGATCCATATCATACTCGTGATCTGCACGCTTCTCGGTAATTTTGATTTTCAATCTTCATTGAATGAAATAGTACTTAGGTCATTCTACTAACTAGATACAAATTCCTTATCCTGTTAAAATTTCTTCTGGGTAGCAAATGGGTATGAATCTATTTTTATGCTTCCACTTTCCAGTTAGGTTGTAATGATTTGATTTGTATGAACCAGAATTAGATGAACTTTAGTTTCTCGGTAGGAAAAGTAAAATAGAATTTCGTTCCTAGGTGATAGTCCGAAATTCCAGAGTCTATGTCGCACTCGTGTTTAAAGGGTGGTGTATTTATAAAAATTTCGACTCATCGATTATTTATATCATATTTGTGCTATTTCTTGTCTTGTATCATGTTTAGTTTTGCTCTTTCCATCTCTTTTAACACTTTTGTTTGGAAAATGTTACTAGGGAGATGTAAGAAGCTTGAACTCGATTCGAAATTCTAGATGAAAATCTAGTTCAAGCTAGATTGATTCACTTTTAAAGTTCAAGGTCGATTTTCAAGATGAAAATCAAACTATTTAAGATCTCTTAATTAGCCTTATTTACTAGTAACAAAACGACATTGAACTAAAGCTCGATTTATTAGAATACTTGAATTAAGCTTGCCCGATATCTCGAGCTGCTAGAGTTTGAAATCAACTCAACAATCACCGAGTTCGAGCTGAATACAAGTAGTTTGCAAGGATAATGCAAAGCTTTTATGAGTTATGGATGAATGGGTTGCTGAATGTTATAGCTGTTTTTTTATAACCACCGGAATCCGACTCATTAGTCGGATCGTACGTTTCATAGACCCATTATAGAAGTGATTATCTGCATTTACAATATTAGAATTCGAACTCCGACTATTTATTTGCTGGTTGGACTGGATACAAAGGTTTCTTCAAAGTTTCGAGAGTTTTTTTTAAAAATACTGTTGTACTATATTTGTATAATTGTATATGTAATTGTATTATTGGTTGGATTCCGTGGTAAAAAATTATTGTTATTCTGAGGATCCGGGTTCGAGCACCATAGATGCTAGGGGTGCGAGCGTTCAATGTTGAAAGGTTGAGAGTTATCTTTGAAGGGATATTGCCTTATACTTACCTCATATTATGAAAAAAAGAAATGTATGATTATCTGATTAGTGATTCCATATAGTTCGGGCTGGTCAGTATGATCATTTTTACTTCGATTAATTAAATGGATCGATCCAATTATTATAGCTCATTATTTCCGATTAACTATCATTTTATAATCAAAACCAATGTTTATTAAATTATCTGTTTTTTATTAATTTGATTAATCGGTTGATTTATATATCTTTTTATAATCAAAATGAATGTTTATTAGAATGTTTGTTTTATATTAACTTATTAAATTGAAATAATATATCCATTTTTAAATAAATTGATTGATTCAATGATTTTATTTTGAAAATAATTTTTCAATTATTAGAAAAATTGATTGATTATTCAATTTTTAATGATAAAAATTGATTTTTTTAGTTTAATCACATATATTTAATTTATAAATTGATTATTTTGAATCGGATTTTGTACCGGAGTGTAGATTCAACCTAATACTCCATATGTTTTTTTTACAGAACTTGCTATTTAGAAACACCAAATCTGAAGGCATAAAGCCAGATTTCATTATTTTCCAAGAAAGAATCAAATCAAAGCAAAAACAATAACAATCAAACGAAAGCATATTTTAAATTCTTTACCCCAAATAAAATAAATAATTAGAAGAGTTTTATGTAAGAGATATTTAAGATTCCGATCCCCCACCTTGACCGTGCAGATTTTTGGGATTTTTTCCTTCTATTTTTTAATTTAATTTTCTCGAGAAAATCGTCTCTCAAAATCCGACGAACCAAACTACGAAAAACCCAATGTTTATATTCTATTGATATTCAACGAAACAAAACAAATTTGGGTTCTTAATCTCATCTCTGAACAATAAAGCTTCTTTACTGGGTATTATATTCATTTTATTTTCTCGAGAAAATCCGACCAAACGAACTACAAGAAGAGAACCCTTGTGTTTATATTTATTAACATTCAAATAAACAAACAAATTTGGGTTCTTAATCTTATCTCCGAACAATAAAGTTTCTTTCCTTGGTATTTCTTTTCAATTAATTTTCTCGAGAAAATCTAATCAAACAAACTACAAAAAGAGAACCCCTTATGTTTATATTTTATTAACTTTCAAATAAACAAAACAAATTTGGATTCCTAATCTTGTTTGTGTATGTTTGAACGATGAATATAAAGCCAGACATCTTTTTGTTTTTCAATTGGCCATTGGGTTTCAGCTTTCAATTCAACCAAACAAAAACATTCATCCAACTTTCTTACATTTTCCTAGTTTTTCCCCCCCTTACATATCTTTTCTCTGAGACTTTGACCCTCTTAGTCTCCTTCAACCCCTTCTTTTAACTAAGTTTTCATTTTCATCTATAAGCATTTAAAATATGAGGGGAAAAACAATTATTTACATATGATTATAAATATATAGCAATGTCTCCCCGTGTGTGTTTGTGTTCATATTTGCATCGGCTGACCTCTTCCTTCCTCTTATAAATTTGAAGTCCAAAGTTTTAAACTTTCATTCTGTGATTGGTTTCTAAAAAGAAAGTATGGGTTTTTCTCATTTGATCAATGAACACCCCCCCCCCAAACACACACACACACACAAAATTGCCAATAATTTTCCTGTTAAATTAATGTTTTTAATCATAATTTTATGTTCTTTCTTATTTTTGTATTGATTTATTGCAGGTAAGTTTCTTTCTTTTTCCTGATGATTGGGGTTGGATTTTGTGGCATGACTGATGAATCAAGACAGAACAAACCAGCAAGCTTCAGTAAAATTCCCCTCTTTTACTTATTTTATTTGTTAAATGTTTCCAATTTATTTTGTTAATATATATTTTATTTTATTTTTCACTCTTTGATTGGTAAAGTATTGAGTGTGAAGGGAAGAAATCAATGAAATAAAGAGATTGAAGTTTGATTTGGTCCCTCGGGTGAGTGCTTATAGTATCAAATACATAGAATTTACCAATTATCTTAATTTTCTTCTCTTAGAAGATAGCTTTGCATTTGGAACCAAAATAAAAGGAAAAAGAAAAGAAAGTGTCCTTATCATATCTCATGTGTAAATACCATTATATAATTTTTTGGTCCAAAAATGTTGTTCTTCATAGGATAAATTCCATTCCATGTTTGTACATTGTTATTTTGTCAAAGATACTTTCTTTTTTCCCATGGAAAAACAATTAGCGTCGATTTATTTATCTATTTTATTTATTGGTACAAAAGAGATTCGGATTCGAGACTTAGAGAGGGTTTTGGATGTCGGGAGTCGAGGCTCATTTTTACTGGATGTTACCTATTAAGAGTTGCTGCACGAACGAACGAGTTATGCAAGTTGGTGCAAACAGAAATTCCTTTTCCATCTTTCTATTTTTCGGGATTAGAGGATGAGGTTAATCCAAGTTGCTGTGATGACAAAAGCATGCATTCGTATCAGTGGTGTCGTCATATGTATAGATAAACTCAGACAATTTCCACAGGGAACAAACAAAAAATGGCAATTTGTTGAGAATATATTCTTGTCTGAAACTTTAATCCAAAGAGTAAGAATGGTAGCTTAGCTTTCACCACCACTTTTCTTGATGTCTTCTTTTTTCCTCGTTCTTTGCCTCTTATATAGTCTTGTTCTTGGTTCGAATCCGATGGGAAATCGAGTGTTTGATTTCAGGGAGACAATGTTTCGTCGAAAAAGAAAGTTCTTGTTCTTTTTATATTATAAATCGTAAAGAATTCTGGAAAACTTGTGTCTAATCTTTGAATCTTACCCGAATTGTTTGTTGGTTTTTGTTTGTTTTTACAGAAGGATTGCTTTCGAGGGGCGAGAGCACAAAAGCTGCTAATGAGAATCAGTCCTTCCGGTAGTCATTAGATGAGACTCTTCTTTTCTTTTTTATTTCCTTTATCTCCAGGCTCCAGCTCTTGGGGATGACAGGCTTGCTTAGTTGTTTAACCAGACTTTTTTCTATGTTTTGTTTGGTTTAGGGTCAGTGTCTTCGTCGCAACATGGAATGTAGGAGGCAAATCTCCGGACAGCAAACTCAACCTCGATGATATTCTTCTTCGTAAAGAATCAGACATTTATGTGTTGGGGTAAATTTTCTCAATCTCTCTTGTATTTTGCCTTGCGATTCCCGGATTGTTGTTCAGTTTTGGGTTCTCGAACTAAAATTTTCTTCTTGGTGAACATGATTGCAAAAGAAAAAACGGAGAGATCTGCAGGAAAGTTAACTTTCTTTCTCGTAATCTAATGGGTGCTAGTTCTTAAATTTGTGATTATATTGCTTGAATTCGGGTGAGTGCCAGAGACATATGTACTATAGTCATTTTTGGGTCTAGGCACGAGTGTTGGGTACATGTATAAGAGTCGGAGCAACACAGCTTTGTGCTGAAGGTCGGAGCAACACAGCTTTGTGCTGAAGGTCGTATAAGCCGGTTGAGTTGACAAGAAAAAGATCGATTTTGAAGGCTTTTCTTGCAAGATTTTTTTTTGTTGGATATGCTTTTATCATGGAAATGAGATTCTTTTCTTCTGAATAGTTCTTTCGGGTTGTTAGTTTTCAGGAAAGTGTTCCGTTGAATGCTGGAAATGTGCTAGTTAGCGAGGATAACGAGCCCGCAGTGAAATGGCTCGCCTTAATAAACCAGTCATTTAACAAGGTGAACTATGTACCTTTGAGAGGATCGAAATCCATCTCTTCTCCAGGGGGTTCTCTGGTTTTTCCGAAAACTTCGCTTAGAAAGGCCAGCAAGGCTTTGAGGACTGAGAGTAAGCGAAGGCTGAAGAGTTGCAACTGCCCTACGGACTTGGAAAGGAAGAACAGCAAAGAATTCTGTTTCCGGTGTCCACAATCTCAAACGAATGAAAATGATATTTCGTCTGAAGATGATGAAGACGGCTCTAGCAACTTAATGCCTACACCTGGTGCAAACTCCATGAAGTATAGCCTTGTAGCAAGCAAGCAAATGGTTGGAATTTTTCTCACGGTTTGGATGAGGAAAGAGCTTGTACAATATGTAAGCCACATGCGGATTTCCTGTGTAGGTTGCGGAATCCTCGGATGCCTTGGAAACAAAGTAAGTCGAGAACCGAAACAGCTAGAGGTGCATTGTTTACTTGCATCGGATATATACATATGTCAAATGAACATTTTCGAATGCAGGGTTGTATTTCGGTGAGTATGCTTTTCCACAAGACAAGCTTTTGTTTCTTGTGCAGTCATTTGGCGTCTGGAGAGAAAGAAGGTGATGAACGCCGGAGAAATTCAGATGTCACAGAGATACTCCGGAACACGCAGTTCCCGAGGATCTGCAAAACGATGAACAGTAGGGTGCCAGAAAAAATTGTGGATCACGAGTAAGCATCTACGAAGCTATGAACCAATGTTTTTTAATTTTGTCAAATCCCAATCTGGTTGCAGTTTTCAACATATACGTTCTCTTATTAAAAGACTAGGTTTTCAGAAAATTTGGCCTTTTAACATTTTTTTCGTCGATAAAATTCCGCAGTCGGGTCATATGGCTAGGGGATTTGAACTACAGGATAGCTTTAAGCTACTCTGATACCCGAAAGCTACTAAAAGAGGAAGCCTGGGATGCACTGTATGACAATGATCAGGTAATCCCTTATACCATAGAAATAAAACCCGAAAATGGTGGAAAATGTCAATATATGGATTCTTTATTTTCTCTGAAGTATCGTATCAGATGCATTCAGACAGACTATAGGGGTACTTTCCTCTAAATAACTAGATACATATTCGTATCCAATGCTCAATCCGAGTCCAAGTAAAACAGGTTTTATCATCTGTTTCTAATTGAATCCAGGATTAGTAGAGTCACTTCTTATGTTACCGCCTACCGGTTACTTGGACTCCGGTGTTAGTGTACATGTACCCGGCATTGTCATCAGAATACAGTAACATAGACATCGATACTCGGGCAGATATAAGTCATTGATGTGTATGCTAATACGAGAAATATTTTTGCATTTGGATACACAGCTGAAGAACGAAATGGAGGCGGGTCGAGTATTCAACGGATGGAAAGAAGGAAAAATATACTTTGCACCAACTTACAAATACTCTCTTAACTCGGACATTTATGCCGGAGAAACAATTGAAACCAAAAGCAAAAGGAGAACTCCAGCCTGGTATGTATTCACAATTTATTAGATTAACTAGGTAATCGATCAAACTGATTGGGCCGGTCAGTTTAATGAAAATATACGTTCCGATTTGATCAAGCATTTCGATTGGATTTTCTCATAGCAGATTCTAATGGTTTTGAGTTTTCAGGTGTGATAGAATACTATGGCGCGGAAGCGAAAGCTGCATGAGTCAGCTTTCGTATGAAAGGAAGGAATTAAGGTTTTCCGATCATGGGCCGGTTTGTTCTATATTTTCGGTGAGCGTTGAAGCGATGGAAGATGGATCAAAGAAAAGATCACCTTTAATTAAATATAAACAATAATAAAGAATAATTGCAGAAAAGTACCAGTTTCATGCTTAGAAATATAACAAATGTATCATACTTGGGGTTCAAGAAAAGACATCAAAATTATATGTAATTGATATTATAAGATAGAAATTAAGCAAACAATATTAAGCAAATGGTAGAAGAAAGGAGATGAACAAAGACAAACAAAACAAAATTGCTTAGTTTTATTTATCGATAAATAAAACACATGAATTTCTCAAAATTAAGCAGATGTCCATGAATATGAACATGGAAAGCATCGATCGAAAGCATGCTGTTAAGTGCTAATCAAATCCTTTGTGCTACTCAAGCAATTCGACAAGCAAACTTGCAAACCCTAGAACACAATACCAACCAGGGTATGATCCCAACCTGTAATTTAGGAGATTAACAACAAAACCAATCAACTTCCTGTGTAACTTGAACTTAGATAATTGTTAGATATAGGCATGTGTATGTTCAGTTTATCGAACATTTTTCATATATATTTGGTGGTTCTTGGAGGGTCACATCCCTATAACAACATAGTTTCAATTCGGGCAAGAAACGGGCAAGTCCTACCCAGGCAAAGTACTTGAGCTCATAGCACCACACACCTCAATATGGATTTCTAGTTTTTAGATATGCCTTGTTATAAACAATTGGAATAGGCAAACAGAAAACCAGAGACGGAATTTGAATCCTATTGCTATCATAGAAGGAAGAAATTGAAATTATGGAATAGGTTAGAGTTGCTAAATATTGAAAAGAATTCTTACCTGGACATAGTTGCTTGAAGAACCCCAAATCTTCCAGGACAACAATCTCCCTGCAAAATAAGTTGTTTGTAATTCAATAGGAAAACAACCCATTTTTCACTATTTTGTTTCATTAATATTTCCCCACCATTTGCTTTCATGCAAACGCTTTCTGCTCCAATTTATTTTTATTCATTCGACATCCAAGGGACAAGCTTTTAACTATTTTTCGGAGTTGTCATTATGAAACATGTATACCGACGCAAGCATGTTTAAGCAAATTGTAATTAACAGTCAAAGAAGCTAACGGCCTAAGACAATATTTCACAAAAATCATTATCGTGCATTACCAAAGGGTTGCACAAGATGCTGAGATACAGAAGCAACAGGAGAGCTCCAAAACCAAAAGACTAACACAATATGAACAAAGACCTGCACGAGCAGACCATAAATCTCTTAGGGTACCAATCAAACCAACAAAAATATACAAACTTCTAGATAGCTTCGTTACATAGAGATAGACCTTTGCGATGAACAAAACTTTCAAATACAAATCATACGACTGTTTCACCTCCTGGGTAAGATGTGCCTGATCTGAAAATCAAATGTTGCTTCTGTAAGTACAGGTGATATGATTAAACAACTCAAGGGTTAAAAGGAAACAACTAGATTATAGTGACTGTTTGTAGATGAAGCTTTCTTTCTTGAAATAGAAAAGAAATATAGATGAAAACAAGAAAGAATATCTAATAAAAGTTCAATTGAAGCCAACAATTTTCCTCTACTTAAAATTAGTATACTCCATACCAAAAATTAAATTGATCCCATTCATCTCGCAGGATTAAATTAATCCTTACTCTCCTCGCTTGTTAAACATAACAGTATTTATATAGCAGATTCCCCTTAACATTGTTTACAAGCCAGGTGTTACATCAAATTAGACACTATTAAAAATATGTTTGCTCGGACTCTCCATTTTCCTAAAAGTATCCATGTTCAACTTTTGTATCCAACAAATAGATATGGGACACCAACTCCAATGGCTATCCAAATACAAGGAAAAACTTAAAAAAAAAATTGACCATACCCATGTTGGATGCATACTTGTCTGATACTACACCCGAGTCAGAGTAACTTGAATCAAATATATTTGATTGTTGAGAAAATTAAATTCATATAATTATGTAATGGAAAAAGTATTAAGTGATTAACATAAGGCTAAAAACAAAAGTGGCCTCACAATTTGCAAGTTCCTTCTCCTTGGCAGCAGCCATCCTCCTAAGCTTGGCTGCTTGTGCAAAGGTAGATGGCCTATGAAGCAAAATAGATGTTCTTTATCCTGTAAATGTGATTGCTAAGTTGATTAAATGGAATTAACCGCTATTTAAATTACTTACTGTGAATAGGAGGCAGCCTCTTTCAGAAGCTGCTTAATCTCCCCACGAAGCTGCATTTCCTTGTCAGTTTTCGATGCTCCCTAACCATGAAAACACAAATCTAATCAACATTGTGAAAAAATAACAGGATAATTTAGAACATTCAAGTTAAACAACCATATATGACATCAAGCAGAATTTGGTACCCTCTTTAAATCTTGGAGACGTTTGGTGGCAAATTGAAATACGAAGACAATGAAGAAGACAAAAGGAGCTGCCAAAGATCTTGTTTGTTCTAAGATTTCTCCTTCTCCCATATTTCTCTTCAGCTGTTACATGAAACTTTTGAGGGAAAGACAAATTTATCGAGGAAAACAAATCCAGGAAACAATTTTTCTCTCTCTTTAGCACCCCAAATTACAATTTACCTACCTTATTCAAACCCTATACAAATAATTGTTCCATTGGAAAATCAAACCTTTGTTATTCCTGTTTAGATAAGCATGTGCTTGACTAACATAATTGTAATAATTATAATAGTCCCCAAAGCAATTTTGGTGTAGATGAAATCTTCCTTGGAATACCTACACAAACTTTACTTCAAATAACCATATTTTTTCGTCTTTCCTAGATCTTTCAAGTTATTAAAAACGAACACTATGTACTCTGAAAGTCAAAGCGTTTTAACTCGAAGCTATTAATTCCACATGAAAGGAGAAAGAGACGAAGATGGTGATAACCACTTAATGGATATCGCCAAACCTAATTACTAGGAGATCAAAACACCAAAATTCAAAATAGAAGGGGGGGAAACATCAAAAACAACAAAGCTCATAGGATGTGGAATTAGGAATGAAACAATATATATATATAGAAATTAAAGAGAAATCCTAATTTCCCGTAATGAAACTTGCTAGCATGCATCTAATAACTCTCAAATCAATCAGTCAGAGACAGAGGAATTCTAACCCTAAGCAAGCAAAATTATCCAAAATTTCACCCATTAATCTCTTCTAAATCACCACAGAAATCACCGTGAAAAGAAACAGCATTACCTAATTCCAGCAGTTTTCCCATGGCTCCCTATGATATTGCATTAAATTCAAACGCTAATTGCTAAAAGCCACCGAAATATCATGAAAAAAATAATTCATAAACAGCACGGATTAAAGGATATTCTTCAAAATGGAGAGAAGAAATCGATAACTTACGTCGAGGAAGAACCGATTGCTAAATGAAAATGCAGAGCTCGCAGATATTTCCGTTTGTGCAAAGGAAGCCAAAAGAAAGTTTAATTAATATGAGAGTTAATTCCAAAATAGATCCCCTAAACTATTTTTCTATTTTAAATTAGTCATTGAACTTCAAATCAAATTATGATCTTATTCTAAATTGATCCGTAAATCTTAAAATATTATATATTAGTCCTCAAATTATCAATACCATTTTATTTTGATCCTTTCCATCATTAGAATAAATTACATTTTTAATACCTAAACTATCAATTTTAATCTGTTTTAGTATTTAAACTTTCGATTGTTTCAAAATTATACCTAACATCTAGTTTTCATTTCATTTTAGTATCCGTCGTTAAAAACTTAACGGTTTTAGTACCTAAACTATCAGTTTTGGTCCATTTTAGTACCTAAACTTTCAATTTTTTCAAAACTTAACATTAAATGGGTACTAAAATAAAACAAAAACTAAACTTTAGGTCTGATTTTTAACAAATTAAAAGTTTAGGTGCTAAAAAGGATCAAAACTAATATTTAGATACTAAAAGCATTATTTACCCTCAACTTTATTAGCTAAAAAGATTAATTTTTGCAAAATTAAAGACGTGTATCTGTACGAGTTAGGTGGGATAACAACATTAATGTATACATATATAGATGTTCTCTTGTATGTATTTAAAAGATTATATTTGCATGAATCTAATGATATCGATGGTAAATGAATTGTTGATATTCTTTGAGATTCCAAGTTCGAGTACCAAGAATACAAGGAGTGTGAATATTCGGTGTGTAAATTGAAAAAAAATTAAAAGTAAAATGAGCGAAATAGTAAAAAAAGAAAAATTTAGTGAGAAATTGGGTATTTTACCCTATAATTTAAGTATCTTTTTTCTATTCTCCATTAATATAATTTCACATATTCTAAATTTATAATATAAATTTATAACGAGATCGATTTTGATGTTGGTTTTCGACTGATTATTCTCTTTTCTATTTCTTTTTAGTTTTTAAATAAGAATAATTTTTCTTTTATGAAACTTTTGTGATACGTTTTTCATTTTTTTCCAATCGTTTAACTGTTCTTTTATTTATGTTTTCTCATTGTTCGATTTGACGATGTCATGACCGATCATGATTGTGCTTATTTGAAATTTTGTTGATCTTCCTTGTTATAGACATTCAGATTAAATTTGGATGCGTGATTTTGCGTTCGTGGGTAACTACTCATGACGCTCAACTCTGATTTACGGTTCTCGGTAGTCTTTCAATAGCTTAATTCTATTTTGTGGTTCGTTTGTCGATGTAATCAGATTTGCTTGAATCTATTTTTATTCGAGTCTTTCGGTTGAATTTTTAACCTTTCCATGTATAGTCATTTTATGATATAAAGTGGTTAGTTTCAATGTTATATGAAAATTTCTAAATTATATATTGAGTTTATGATGATAGTTATAAACTTTTATTATAATTTTAAATATTTTTAATTTTTAATAATATTAACGACTTCTATTAAAAAAAACTCTACTCTCATAACATAAAATCTTAAGTCTGTGCATGCTATTGAATATAGATCCAAATCTCGTAATTTTTTTTTTTTGAATAATTTTGAATTTATTACCCAAAGAGAGCAAACCTAAGCTGCTACAGATCATAAGAAACAACACAAAGCTCACAGAGCCTCAGGAAGAATACCCCTAGCCTCACACAGCAGAGAGTTTAAATTATCAAGTCCATCTATATTCTTCCTACTGAATTGAATAGAAACAACCTCCTTAATTGAATCAACAATGACCTCAACCGGGTGGACTCACCCATTGAAAATCCTGCAGTTATGCTCAGACCATACCAAGTAAATATGAGCACTCCAAGCCACCCTAAAGATACCAGCAGTCAATGACTTACCCTTCAGGCAGGAAACCGCCCAAGCCAACTACTGGTCCCATAACATGTCGAGAAACATTGCACAGCCGCAACACCCCTTTCCAAACCTCACCCGAAAAGAACAAGCAAAGAACAAATGGTCTCGAGTTTCAGTATGACCTTAGAAAACACAATGTGAATCAACAACAACATCCCAACGAAAAAGGTGATTCTTTGTATAGAGCCTCCCCAGGATTGTAAGTTGCGCAATAGAAGCATGCTTCGGGACTTGGAGAGGACACCACACTAGTCTATGCCAAGACACAACAACATTCTTAATACGGACCTCAGACCAGATCTAGGAGGTGGTAACCACACTACAATCAGCAATCACTCCAAGCACCATGAAAGACTCTTCCCTAGTTTTCAGCATCCTCTTTGTGCACCAACTAAAATGGGGCTTGGGAACAATCTGCCAGAACCGAACTCCTTTCAACATATAAGCGTGAAACCAAGTGACTTAGAGAACCTTAGCCAGCGAAAATGTCCTTCACAAGAGAAAAGACATGCCTTGTTCCAGGTTTTAAGATCCTCCAAACTAAGTCTCCCCTTCAGATTTGGAGGAGCAAATCCTCTCCCAACTAACCTTAACACCTGTTGCAGGAGAGTCTGAACCCTTCCAAAGGTACCTAGCACAAAGCTGCTCAATGTGCTTAATGATGGACTGAGCTAGAATGAGCTGCCTACACCAAAAGTTCACAACATCAAAAAACACAACTCAAATTAGTTGTAAACGACCAGCATAACTAAGATTGCGATTACTTCAATGCCCCAGCTTGGCATTAACTTGTTCAATAAGAGGGTAACAATCCTTTTCAGAGAGTTCCTAGTTACCAAATGTACCCCAAGGTAACGAACAGACAGATGATATAACTTGAACCTTGAGAGACTCTGAATTGCAGCAAGAGAATTAACATTGACCCCAGAAGCAAAGAGTTCACTCTTAGCAGCATTAAGCTTCAAATTAGACCACACAAAACTTCTCCAAAATGCACTTAACCCCATAATCGAATCCAATGAACCCTTACAGGAGATAAGGAGATCATCAGCAAAACTCAGATGAGTTAAGCTAATTTTCTTATATTTGGGATGAAATTGAAACAGGTTCCTTGCATCATCTAAATCCAGAAGCTTACAAAGAACGTTCATGGCCAAGACAAAAAGGTAAGGAGACAAGGGTTCCCCTTTCCTTATCCCCTACCCCCTTTGAAAAAACCAACCAAAGTGCAATTAATAACAATAAAAAATCTGGAAGTGGTCAGACAAGCCTCAATCCAGCCCCTAAACTTCTCGGGAATCTCATAAATTTTATCACACAGAGTACATTAAATTCTTGAATGAAAATGAATCAACCAAATTTCACTAATTTTTCTAAGAGCATTATGACTATAATTTAGCCAAATTATTAATTAAGCTCAATACAAAAATATTTGATTTATTTCCTTCATTTGCTCATCTATTTCTATCTTATGATCTGTTAGCTTTCCCTTTCTCCTCATTTCCTTCACTATTCTTTATTGTTAATTGTTTTTAGAAGAATTATCATTCTGTTTTCTCTCTCCCTAACCCAAATCCGCAAAATTCTAGAGAAGAAGATGAGAACTTATTAGAAAGATTCCCCATTTGTTTTTCTTGCAATCGTTTGTTTGCTGAAGTCGATGTTTTGTTCTTTCTATTCTCGGATCCTTTTTCTTCTATCTCAAAATTGCGGTTAGAATTTTAATGTCCGTTTATTAATGATTGTAGATCAAGCAATTTATTGTAATCTTAGGGGACGTTTGTTTATATCAGAATGATTAAGCGTTGAATGATTTAAATATTGAATGATTCAGAGGTTCTGTATGAATTAGCTCTGAATGTGACATGCTATTTGATAATAACTCTGAATCCAGAGACGGACCCAGGAGCCTTCGTCAGAGGTTACAAGAGCTACAGGGCACTTTTGAGGGGTGACACTTGGATTAAGGATGACACTTGTGAAGGGGTTGCTTGGGATACCCCGGGCACCATGGAGGTCCACCCCTGGATGAAGGGTTGCCCGGGATATCCCGGGTTTCATGAAAGTCCGCCCTTGTCTGAATCATTCAGAATGTACTTTAATGTTGAATCATTCAGAATGTAATTTGATGCTGAGTCAGTCAATACTGAATCATTAAGAGGTACGAAACAAAAACACTGAATATTAAACGGTTCAACATTCAACGCTGAATGATTTTATTCAGAACCAAACAAATAGCCCCTAATTAACTTTTTGGGTTGCTTTCCAGATTTTTCAATTCTCGCTATGATCTCAGCTATCAGTTCAATCAGGAACCATAATTGAGCTCATTCAAAGAACTTCTGTTTTTGGAAAAATCTTCCCAGAATTTTGCGTCTTCGTGAGGCAGGTAATTGGGTTCTTTTTCGTGTAGTTCCTTTTTTTCAGATTTTTTTAATTGAAACTGGTTGATTTTGGTTAATCTAATGTAAATAAATAGCTGACGGTGCAATTATTTCAGCTTGTAGTTTATTAATGATGTAATATTGGAATAAATTTATGACAGAATCATAGTGCAATAAATTATTTATGCATCATTTCTGGAAATGGGTGTTTTTAATTTGTAATTTTTTTTAATTATAGGCTATTTTCTTTCTAAATTAGGTTATAGGGTTTAGACCGTTTAGTTTGAAACGAATTTTCCTTTTCTGGAATAGAATTGAATTTTGATACACGTTTACATACATCAATGTTTGCTGCATTTTATATCCTGTGTAAGGGTGGACCTGGTGCCCGGGGTATCCAGGCAATTCCAGAGACGGATGATGCAGGTGATCCGAGACAGATGATGTTGAGCTGTCAGATTGCACCTTGATGGCGTTGAGATACCATGAATTGAAAGATCAACGCAAAGGCGGGAATCGATTGTGGCATGTTCTTCATTGGGGTCGTTTTGAGTATATTTCAGTCTTTTAGCAATAACTTTGGCTACATGTGTCAGAATCGCGCATAAGTCCTCAATCCGGAAAGCTCTTTTCGACGCGCACGCTCTCCACATGAGTTATGCTCCATGTGACCTTTTTTTCAACCTCAAATTCTGCTCCGAATCGTTAGATTTAGATTTTTTACTATTTATGGTAATATTTCGATTGTCAATTAAGAAGTCAATTTAAATCCGATTTAGGTCAGATTTTTTTGGAGATTGCTTATTTATTTCGAATTTCAATTTAGAGTGATTTTCGAGATTTTACTATTTTTGGCAAAATTTGAATAAAGACGATTTTTGGCTATATCAGTCTGACTTGTGGATTGATTTTAGATGGTTTTGATTTTATAATATTTTATTAAATCTTAAAGAATTTTTTTCTCTGATTTTTTAGGCGAATTTTCTCTTGTGAATCATCTGTTGAAGCGCCTGCAAGATAATCACTATTCTATCTAACGTCAACGAATCTCCATGATGCCCGAGATATCTCAAACAACTCCTCCACAAATGTCACTTTAATATAAACTATTGCAACTTTTTGAATTTTTATCCTAAGTCTACCTATAATCCTGTGGATAATTTCGTTCTACGTCAACTGTTCCCAACCTTGCTGTACTCCATGACTTTTTCTGTCTTTTCTGAATATGTTATCTGTAGAGTGGATGAATTTTTCTGTCGTTTACGAATCCATTATAAGTTGAGAGATGTGGATACATCCCAACGACTTTTGTTTCTTTTCATAGATTTAAATTGTTCATATATGCTTTCATCATTTCTTCTTTTAATATTTGAATAAAGGAGTGTGCTGGTTGATCCACTTGTAGCTTGTTGTGATGCATAAAGCGCGTTTATTGGGGAAACAAAAGAAAGATATAAATGCATATATGGGAGTTTTGGGTGTAATAATGAAAAAGCGAGTGGAAATGGTGCTGTGTTTCCTTCAGTTTTCGATATTTTAATTTTGCGTGCCTTCCATCTTTTATCTTGTTTCAGGTTTTGGATGGTTCTCACTTGTTGAAAGGGGGTTTGTCTGTGATTCCTAAGAGATGAGTCGCACAAAAAATGAGAGGGAAGATGGAATTTTCTATAAGGATCAGACCGAATCGTCGTTGATTGATGATGGCAACTGTGGAGGAGGAGGCTCAGGTGGCGGAGTTGTTCTGAAGAAAGGACCATGGACGACTGCTGAAGATGCAATTTTGATTGAGTATGTGAAAAAGCATGGGGAAGGCAACTGGAATGCTGTTCAGAAGCACTCTGGACTATTTCGTTGTGGAAAAAGTTGCCGCTTACGTTGGGCAAATCACTTGAGGCCAAACCTGAAGAAAGGGGCATTTACTCAAGAAGAGGAGCAGCTGATCATTGAACTCCATGCAAAGATGGGAAATAAATGGGCTCGGATGGCTGCACATGTAAGTGTTCAATTACTGTAAATGTACTAGTTTGTTTTAATGATTGATTAAATACATTAATTTATTGAACATAAAAAAAGTGTTAGATTACTACATTTACAAGACAAAGACTTTGAACAATTGATTGATTACTAGTTTGTTTTAGTCGTGCCTTAAAATGAATAAACCTCATCATTAGAATTATGATTATTTTGTCTTAGAAGTTGAACCATAGCAATTTATGTTTTCCAGAGTTCTGTGGCCACTATTCCACCTTGGAAATGCTAAACACTTGCGCAAAGCCTGAAAAAGTTTCACTTACCAAATTTGTATTCATCTGTGATCTGTCTTTTAGGTGTCTGAAACTTTTTCTTTGCGCTGTTTTTATTTTCAGTTACCGGGTCGTACAGATAATGAGATAAAAAATTATTGGAATACCCGGATTAAGAGACGTCAGCGTTCTGGGTTACCTCTCTACCCTCCTGAAGTGTGCTTGCAAGAGTTGCAGGAGAGTCACAGTACCGGTGCATTTAATGGAGGGGATAAAGGACCTCATGATATCTTGCAGAACAACAGCTATGAGATACCTGAGGTCATATTTGACTGTTTAAAGGCAAGTCAAAATGTCCTGCCTTATGTTCCTGAACTTCCTGATATGTCTACAAGCAGCATGTTGATGAAAGGTCTAGGTTCTCAATATTGTAGTTTCATGCCACCAACAATCCATCGCCAGAAGCGTCTTTGAGAAGCTACAACCTTTTACTCTGGTTACACTGCTGCCGTTAAATATGAATTCCCATTGTTTGAGCATTTTCAGGATGATATCTCGGACAAGGCTGCTCGATCCTTTGGGCTGCCTTTTCCGCTTGAACCAGATCCTGCAACAAAGAACTCCTTTCAATTTGGTGTATTCCCGGGTAGCCATGCCCTTCAAATGGCAATTTCTCTGCTTCAGAGCCTGCTTTCGAGGCTGTGAAGTTGGAGCTCCCTTCACTCCAATATCCAGAAACGGAATTAGGTAACTGGGGCACATTTTCTAGCCCGCCACCATTACTTGAGTCTGTTGATGCTTTTATCCAGTCACCACCACCAACCAGCGGAGCAGAGTCAGATAACCTTTCACCTCGTAATAGTGGCCTGCTAAATGATTTACTTCATCAGTCAAAAACTCTAAGCAGGGCAAAAACCCATGCATCTGACAAGAGTTCAAACTCTACAACTCCCGGTGATATTGTTGAAAGTTTCACTTTCAACATTTGTCAGACAGAATGGGAAAACTGTGGCGAACCTCTTTCTCCAATGGGTATTTCAGCAACTTCTCTTTTAAGTGAGTGTATCAGTGCAAGCGGTAGTTCGTTGGATGGACAGCCACCCGCTGAAACCTTTACTGGTTAGTACCTCTCTAATCTGGACTTGCTACACATGATTACATATTTTTACAAAAATGTAAATGGAAATCATACTTTGATATCGAATGATATTCCTATCAAGTAAAGTGGATTCACATATTCAATATTTTTTTAATCAAAACTATGGAATCCGCAAAAACTGGATTGGATTTTGGCTACTTTTAGCTATCCGTTATCATCCCTACTTTTTACTAATATTCCAAGTGTATTGTCGAGAAATTTTGATGCTCAACTTCTCTCTATTGTTTTCCTAGTGTTTAGTAAGTTGATTTTGGATTTTTTTTTTCAGAGTCGCATGTGAAATCAGAACCAGCTGATCATATTTTGACCCCCGAGATAAAAAACAAGTCTCCTATTCGGTTGGATAGTTGTTGCCATGATACATT